TTTCCTACACAACTGCTCCGCTCTCTGCCTCCTTTGCCTGGGTGCTGGACTCAAGCTCTTGTCGCCCCACCATCTCTACCTTCTTCCCAGTAAGCCCACGTTCAATGTCTTTCCACCCTGTCTCTAGAATGCCCTCGGGCCATGCCATCCAACGCCCACTGCTCGCTCTTCTCACCTCTGAATAACAGTCCGCGCCTCTGTGACAGACCTCTGGGCTGAGGTCCCTTATTCAAATAGACACGGACCGGTCGTCTGCCCCGAGCCAGGTCCTGAGATGAACATGAAGTCAGGGTCCCCAGCTTTCAAAGTGCAGAACTGAACTCACGCCCGGGCACATGGCTGAGATTCGATGGAGCTGGGCCAGGGCAGAGGTTGGTCAGCTGTGTTTCTCACAATCCCGAAACGACTGTAACGTGTCGCCGGAGGTGGGGACAAGCTGAAGCATTTGCTCCGATGGGGCTTACGTTCTCTAGAATTTGACCCTCACCCTTTAAAAACACTATTTCTCAGCAGAAGTAAAAGAAGAGGGAAAGCTTGTGTAGCCAGTAATGTTATTTTTTAATTTTAATTCTTGGTTTACCTAGGTAAGTTCTACATCAAATACCTTCTAGTGAATCCCTCGCGTTTTCCTTGAAAGTCTTCCTCCTCCCGGGGAGCCACATCTGAGGTTGGTGAAATGCACTGGGAAGGCACCCCTGCCCTGGCTGAGACATGGCCGTGTTCCTTCGTTCTCAGCAAGAGAAATGGAACCTGGAGTATCTTACTAAACGTGGGCAATGAGAGTGTGTGGACACTGTCTCCTAACAGCAGGGCAATTATCTGCTGAGTGGGGCTTGTGTAAATCCCCCGGTGTCCTGAGTCCTGATAATTATGATGAAGGGCACTGGGCAGCCCCCACCCCAGCCAATGCTCCCTTCTCCCTTCTCTGCCCACTTCCCCTCTGCAGCTACCGGAGAGCTTCACCTCGTCTGTGTTTGCTTTAGTATCTTATTTCTTCCAAGCATTTTTTTTTTAATCCTTACCCGAGGATACTTTTCCACTGAGTTGTTTAGATAAAACGGGAGAGAGGGAGGGAGGGAGGGAGAGAAACATCGATGTGAGAGATGCATCCATTGGTTGCCTCCAGCAGGACCCCGACCTGGTCTGGGGACCAAACCCACAACCGAAGTGTGTGCCCTTGACGGGGACTCGAACCCGAGACTCTTTGGTTCGTGAGCCAATGCTCTAACCGCTGAGCCAAACCAGCCAGGACAAAGAACCTTTTTTTTTTTTCTTTTGTCACGAAAACTTAGAACTCAAGCACATTTTAGACAGCCCCCCTTTTACGGCTGCTTCTCTCCCGGTATTGACAAATTCTGAGTCGTGGGGCGAGAAAACACTTTTTCGTCTGATTCCCTTTTTGTGCAATCAGCGACTCCTGTTTGCGGTCTCGTTATCCCGTGCAGAAGTAAAAGGTGAATTCTCCCAGAATAAGCTGTTACTTTGAAGTCATGAGAAATTGTGATTTCTCAGATGGTAAAATGTGAAATTGAAGCACTAATAAATGTGCCTTGGGAGTTACAGGCATACCCAATCGTGTTTCAAGTTCCTTTTCTGTCACAGGAACTTGTTTTAAAAGTAAACCTCAATAGCAAAGAGAAGAGGAAAAAATTAGACACAGCTTCCCCCAGGCAATTACAAAATAAAGGTCAGGTATGAGAGCGAAATGGCCATAAACACATTCTTTGTGAAATAAAACAGTAGATGCTCCCAAAGCAAAAAGTATGTCCGTTCGTTTTCAGATCAATTGCATTGTTAAAGGCCTTTCCCACATAATACTTAAGTATAAGAATAAGAATAAAAACTGGAATGGAAAGAGCCAACGGATAGATGGTTAGAAATATGGAATAGTTCAAAATATTAATGTAACGCTAAGGGTGACTGGGTAACAAATGGTACATTTGCTCGTTGCTCAACCTGACATAATTAATATTCTAGGTCATGCTTAAGTTCCCATGATGGAGGGTCTGAAGGGAGGAATTCAAGAAAAATATATATCTATTATATAACTCATTGCCTTTTTTTTTTTTTTTTTTCCTTCCTTTTGACGAGTCAGAATCATAGCCTTTAAAAAAAAATCTGTGGTTTCACACCTCATTTGCCGTATTCACTACTGGGCCACCAGTCAGCAGCCCGGCCCGATGCAAGGAGGTCAGTAAGAAGCTATTAGCTGAGTCCTCTCCTGAGATTTCCCGGGTCTTATTGAGTTGAATGTTAGCATGACAGTCCTGCAAATAACTCCGTTGTAGGCTTTTTTTTTTTTTTTTTAAACAGTTAGCAAAGATTTCCCCATAGTGCTGGTCACTCTAGAAAATTATTGCTGAGAATGAAGTCCCACAAGCTAGCTTGGCAGCAGCCCTTCCAAGCTGTGAAAAATGTGAAAACTGAAAAATATGCCCTGGTCCCTTAGGATTGACTTTGTCTTTTGTGGCTCATAGTAATATCTTTAGAAATCAACAACAAACCGTGACTCACCCGTGGCTTACAAATTATGAAACGTAGCAACTGGGCCAGTAGTAAGTTAACGTTGTTTTATTTACTTAAAGAATAATGCTTAAATGGATACTGTCTCAATCTAAATACATCAGCTATTTGCTTGCGGTAAGGATTGTGGGAGGGCTGGACTGTGTTTATTGGCGATGCTAACAAATTCATTAAATTAATTTCTAAACTATTGACACCTTGAAGATGTTAAATGATACATTTTAAATTCAATTAAAATATATTTTATATCTATGTTAGATTTAAATTGCAAAGAGAATACACATGAGGAGGTCTCCATATAGGTTGCAAAATATAATTTAAGAAAGCTATCATGTCTGTGGATCTATTTGCATTTTCCATCTAGCCTCTGTATACAGGTACATGCAAATGTGGGAGGGGCTCAAAGAAGATTTCTAACGGGGGCAACATTAATAGCTGGTGCAGTTACCCAGGTAGATAGACATTTTAAAGCATAATTATAATCTAGTTAAACTGTCTGTATTTTACTATTTTAATCTGTAAGCTTGTGGAAATGATATGCTGACAGGCTTCCTTTAATTAGATTATCACTGAACAGAATGGCATTTTCTTGTATCTCTGTCATAGACTTATATAGATTTAATTATATTTTTATGTCAGCCTAGTCTTTTTAATATAATATTTGGTTTTTTTCTCATTACAATGGATACATTCTCATCATAGAAAATCACCCTAAAAATTACCATCCACTTAAAAGTTACTGTCCCCTGAAAGCTATTTTGAGTATATATGTATGTTTTTTCCTTTATTAAGATCATTTAACTATCTGTTTATGTATCCATCTTGTTCTGCATTCAGTGTTATAGTGAGAGAATGTTAACATGACATTATAAATGGTGTACACAATTGTCTATAACGCTTTCAACACTGTTCTTTTCTTGTATAAATCAATTGCATAGGGGAGCCGGTTCAAAACATTTTTCAAATACTTAAATATATCTCCATTAGCTTCGTTTCATCTGATAAGATGCAGCCCCTGGTTATACAGGAAAAGCAGGGTTGTGGGGCGGGTCTGGGGTGAGTTAGTTCTAAGTCCCAGATCACAATGTGCTTGGCAGCGAATTAAAACTGGCATGTTACGAAAGACCGAAAGGGCATAATCTATAACTTCTTTGAAAGAAATGGACAGGATTTTGAAATAAAGTGCAAGTGTTTTACTAAGAACATTTAGGTGGCTTTGGAAAACGATAGTAAAATAGAGGCTTCATGAGCATTTTCGGAAGGACGCATTGTTATTCTAGAGAAGAAATCAGCCTCATTTTTAGTGTCTACTGTGTGACAAGCACTCTGCTGGCCCCGGGGACACAAAAGTACCCAACACAGGGTCCCTGTGCTCCTGATGCTTGCTGGGACCGAACACTGATTGCAGCCTGAGCCGGTGCAATTAGCTAGAGGTCAACACTCATTTAAGCGTTAGGCTGGAAACAGAAAATTTTCGGGGACAGTTTTTCAAAGCCAACTAACCTAACTAATCATAATACTCTGGGGCTGCCGATTCCACGAGGGGAATGCGTCCTCAGCATTAGTTTCGAGTGTCCACAAAGCAAACGAGCAAGCCATCCTCTCCTCCCACATGTAACTTTTCCTTACGGATGTGCATTTGTGTACACGAAAAGATACCCAAATGCGGTTCTAAACTCAGACACCACTGGGTTTTCAGAAAAGGACATCTGCTCAACTAGAATCGGACATTTGTCATATACACAGCTATCGAACCTCTGTGGCATATCAGGTGCTGTACTAAGGAAGGCTTGACTGTTTTGAGGCAGTGTGCCAAGGTCAATGACAAGGGTAAGGTGAGACTAGGGAAGCACAGCTTCTAACCACGTGGATTCAAAATACAGTACAGGATGCTATTTTGAATATGTATCTATATCTATAGGCATCCACTCTGCTTCTTATTTTAAAGAACTTAAAATAACTGCCATGTAATGCTACGGAATGAATAATCATTGAAAAAATCAAATGTTTATTGAGGGCATACTTTGCACTTGAAACTGGTCCGAGCATTGTGTATGTGGGTGTGTGAGAATGAATGTGTGACTTATAGATGTGGTTACATATGCAACCCACAGTTAATGGTAAGAATACAAAATGAATGAATGAGGTCCTTCTGTTTGCTTGTTTGTTTGTTTTTCTCATAAATACAGTCATATAAAATATACCCTGTGTGGCAGACAGAATCTATAGGTCAGAAGATTTGAACATGTTTCATCTTCAACATGAAGGATTCTGAAATGGCTGATCTGGAGTGGAGACCAATCCTGAGTGTGTTTTCGTCAAATTCTCTGACAAATCTGAAATCCACCTCCCGTTCAGGTCTAGAGTTGTCGTTCAAAACAGTCCTTCCACATACGAAACATGTTAGGGTGCGGCTTTATCTTCCCGTCACTCCATGGGAAGATTAAAGACAGAAATCACAATTCTGTTTCCTTCAGATTCCAGGCATCTACAACTCACCATTCCGAGAGCACCCTGACCCGTGGGAACTGCGGCTGCAGAAGGCAAAGCCTTTGACGCCTCCCAGACGTAAGCAGAAGCGCACCGTCCGCCTGGGCAGCTGGCTGGCTTGTACCAGCACCCGGTCCTTTCCGCGGTCCGAAGTCCTGCCGCCCATCCACAGGAAACAGTGTCAGGTACGCTCTGGCCGCGTCGGGATTCTTTCCGTGACTGTGTCCTTGCTGGTTTTCTGTTTGTTTGTTTTCATCCTCACCGAGGACATTTTTCCATTTTTTTGTTCAGATAGAGCGGGAGGGAGAGAGAGGAAGAGAGAGAGAAACATCAACATGAAAGGGACATATTGAGTGGCCACCACCCACACGACCCAACCAGTGCCGGGGACAAGCTGCAACCAAAGTATGTGCCCTTAGCGGAAACCGAACCGGGTCCCTCTGGACCGCAGGTGGACACTCTAACCGCTGAGCCAGACTGGCCAGGCTGTCCTTGCTGTTTTTAACGAAGTTATTTTGTATTGTCTTTGCGATCATACAAGAAAATTATTTTTTTAGAAGATCTAATTTTAAGAAATAAATATAAAGTATGTTGAAAACATATACCAAGGAAGTAATCCGGTGTTTCTTTGGTATTGAACTTGGATGTTTTGAGTGCGAAGTTAACACATAGGATTTTGGGCTAAGATCTAGCCTTTTATGAAAAATATTGTTGTAACAGTACTTGTTAGAACCTGTTGTTGCTAGAAAGATTTTATGTGCCCCGCCGGTGTGGCTCAGTGGTTGAACATTGACCCCTGCACCAAGAGTTGCTGGTTTGATTCCCGGTCAGGGCACTTGCCCTGGTTGTGGGCCTGATCCCCAGTGGGGGGCGTGCAGGAGGCAGCCAATCAGTGTTCTCTCCCATTGATATTGATATTTCTATTTTTCTTCTCCCTCTCTCTAAAAATCAATAAAGAGAAAAAAATTTTTTAAAACGATCTTATGTATTATCAAATATGTGTAACTTAACCTGTCATCTGATGACCCACATCTTTATATACAATAGCAAACATAATTTTGGTTTGAGTAATTTTAAAAGCATAAGTTGGGGAATTAGAGAGGGCCTGAAACAATGCAAGACTCAGTAGCAACGAGCCATCGTCACTGTGGACTGGACAGAGCAGGATTGGCAATGACTTCCTGGAGCTAATGGGTGGAACAGGATGTGTTGGGTGACGACTGTCACTGTCCTGGAAGTCCCAGAGAGCAAGAGTTCTATCATTCCCACCAACATTTTAAACAACTAGACAATTGCCCCCGGGTAGCATCAACCCAGAACTGTATTTATTTTGGTCCACACTGCCAGCTCCCGGGGCTCCTCCCTACTGGTTCTCTGCGCAGGCTTGTTCACCTCTTTCTGGAATCAGTGACCTCTTTCTGGAATCAGTGACCTCTCTCTGGAATCAATTATTGTGCAGCCTGATAGCTTCAGCCAACACAGGTCTTACCTCACAGTCTCTGTGGTCAGTGCTGTAAATGCAGCTTCGGTTAGTGCCTCCGACTCAGGGTGTTTCAGGGCGTTGTAGTCAAGGTGACAGCCCAGACTGATTTCACGTGAGAGAGGAGAGGGGGGCGACCCGTTTCCAAGGTCACGCATATGGTTGGGGGTTTGCATGGGTCAGTCCCTCCCCCGGTGGCCTCTGCGGTGCTCCGTGCTGAGGGAGCGAGAGCTGTCAGGACAGAAGCCACAGCCTTTTTAGCACTCAAGGTCACAAGCAACTTCCGGTTACTTCTCCCATATCCTGTTTGTTAGAAGTGAGTAAGTCCAGTCCATACAAGGGCTTGAATACTAAGAAGTGGGGTGCCTTTCAGAACCCCAGTCATTGGATCAACTGTGCAATGAGACAACCTGCATTCTATGCCATAAAAAAATAATTGTTGCTATAGTTCTTGGTGATGTTCGTATTTACAGTCTCTATAATTGGGGTCCTTAATTCCCTCGTGTATTTTTATCTCTCAAAACTACTATCTGATAATACTATTAACTGATTAATACTATTAACTGATCATTTATGCTATATTGTAGAAAGAGCTGTAAAAAATAGCTGAAAATCTATAAAGGTGATTTTCCCCCAGATCACCTTCTCTTTTTCCTCACCCCTGACTCATTTTTATAAGAAAATCTATTTATATCAATATTCATAATTACCTTTAAACAAATCTATTTATCCAAAAGAGACATAGAAGCTGAATGTATATATATACATGTATATACACATATATGAAATATATAATAAATATATATGAAAGACATATATAATGTATAATATATTAATAGTTATATATAATAAATGAAATATATAATAAAAGATATATAAATATATATCAAATGGGGATGTATATATATAAGAGATGTATATATATATATATATATATATATATATATCTTAATAGTGAACTTGGAATCATGTTACTGTATCTTTAAAAAATAAAGTTTCAATAAAAATTCATTAACTCCTTTCAAATATAGCAATCCTCCTGTCCAGCTGTGAAAAGTACTAGATGATACTTATTTGCCATTTGTGTTATTTACGGTCCATGACTTTTATGGTAACTGGTTCCTATTATTGGTTTCTATTAATGTAAAACATAAGTGAACATAAATGAGGCGTGAATCATTTCTTTTTATTAGCCCGGTCTTCACTCGGTGCAGGCAGGAACTCCAGCTGTGTCTTGTTAGGGATAACCTAGTTAAGGAAGGATAAGGAGTATGATTAGAAATCGTGGTCCCTTTCAGATCACTTCTCCCCTGCACAATAGTGGTGAAAAGAGAAAACAAGATGTAATTAAAGGCACAGCAAAATCTTGAGCCTGGTTTGTATTGTGCTTTATGTGGTACTAATTAATCAGGCAACCAGTGGATTCTAGTAACTGGTGTAAGTAACTACTAATTTAAAGGCAGGATATGTTGTGGATCACTTTCCACAGTTGCAGCCTCTGGACTTTGCTATGCATTTCTGTGGTTAAAAGGTTGCTACTGTGTCAAAGTGACTAAGCAATAAAATTTAGAATTTTAAATAAAGGACACGATTAAAAATACAGCCCCTCTATGTTTTTTGGGGAGGCACCAATTAAATACAAGGTTTGGCATTCCCCTAGAAGCTTTATTTTAATGACAAAACACTCGCCATCCTTTTTGATTTATAGAAGTGCTCTTTGAAAACCGTGTTCCAAATTGTTCCTAATATTTTAACTCAGAAAAAGGAGAGAATTCTTTTCAAGTTGTATAAAAGGAAACACGCTTTTTAAAATTTGAAAGTAGACCAACCTATAACTACAAATTCACTAGTTTTTCATAAAAACTTTTGATGTGAGGGAAATTCTGCTCAATCAAAAACATTTTTAATACAATCACTGGGACTTGTGTGAACATTTCTTGAAGCTGTGATAGTCTTCCGTCCTGTATTTTCCTAATTCAGAGAAGAACAAATTGTTTCTTTAAAAAGTTGAGGGGGGTGGGGGAGCAGCAAGGATGAAATAAACCAAAGAACTCATATGCATGTATGCGTAACCAGTGGACATAGACGACAATGCTGGGGGGGTGTATGGGGAGGAGGGTGTCTGGGGGGGAAAAAGAAGAGACGTCTGTAACAAAATAAATAAATAAAAACTGCAGAAATTAATTTTTAAAAAGTACTTTGGTAAACTTGCTATGCTTTGTGGATATTCGGTAGCCTTGGCCATCAATAATGGGGTCAAGGAACCCTCCCTAACGAAGTATTTGCGTCCTCCCGCCTGTCAGGGACCCTTCCGGGCTCTCGCCGAAGTCCTGGAGCAGCGCTACAAGCCTCTGGAGCCGACGCTGCGGGCGGCCGAGCCCATCGACGGGTTAAGAGAGGCCAGAAAGGAATTCCGAGGGCAGGAAGGGGCAAGGAACATGCACGACGTGTGAGTTCTCAGCGTCACAAAGTAGCGGTCCATGTTCGGGGACTCGCGTCATCTCACATTTTCTATTTCTGATATTGTGGAGAATCCTTTATTTGTGAGAAAAGGTCAAGTCCTCCTGACCTATTCAGAAGCAACCTGCAACGTGCAAATGTTTTCGATAGGTCAGCGTCAATGACCATATTGACCACAGTTGCCCTGGATCAGGGGCCCACCCTACTCCAGTGTGACCTCATCTTGATGTATTACGTCTGCAGTGACCATATTTCCATAAGGTCACAGTCTTTCCCGTGTTCTTATACAATCATGGGACGTGAGACAACACTGTCTTTGGAGCGCGGAGTACAGAGGGTTTTTTGGGGAAGTCCCTTTAAAGCTTTGTTTGTTTGTTTCTTTGTTTTTTCTTTATTGATTTTAGAGAGAGGGAGGAAGGGAGAGGAAGAGAGAGATAGAAACATTGATGAGAGAGAACATCGATTGAACACCTCCTGCATGCCCCCCACTGGGGATCGGGCCCACAACCCGGGCATGTGCCCTGACCGGGAATCAAACTGGCAACTTCTTGGTGCAGGGTCAACGCTCAACCACTGAGCCGCACAGCCGGGCTATACGTTTGTTCTTGACCCTAAAGAAGCTCATTCTTCTTGCTCATGCCTTCTGAAGAGAACGTTCCCTCCTCCGTGTGTCTGTCTGTATGATACCAGGATCTCACCTAAGCAATTCGTAAATAACTGCCCAGTGGTTTCAGTGAGAAGCTCTGGCACTTACTGATTCAGCAAATGTGTGTGTGTCAGGAGCAGTTCTAGGCTCGAGGGACATAGCACTGAGGAGAACAGACTCTCTGCTCCCACGCCTCTTCCGACTTGAACCAAACCAGACAACCCAGTGAAATTCTGAGCAAAATGTGCTACGGGTGAGCTCTGGGACACGGTCCCCACGCGTGAGAGACCACAAGCGCCATGACCTTCTTTTTCAATATAGAGTTTGCTCTGGTCTGCGGTCTGGATTTTGGTAGAGAAAAGAGAAGAGAAAAGGTGGTTGTTGGTATGGGGGCAAAGAATGATGGCAGGAGTTGTTCACCGAACAACCAGAAGACCAATGTGGCAGGAAGTAATTTTCATGTGAGGCAGTAGAAAGAAAAAGTGTGCGAGGCTTCAAGGCCAAGGATGTGAGGGTTGATCGGTAGATAATGGTGAGTTATTTAAGGCTTTAGAGTAAGAGGATGTTATAAAAAGAATATGAATTTGTTGGTTGCGAGACAGGTGTATTTAAAAAGAAATATGTGGAAGGAAAGGGAGCCCATTAGGGGAACAGTGCAGTAATTTCGGCGAAAGGTAGCAAGCTAGAACCACGGTGATGGCAGGATGCAGTGTTTCACTCTTTTTTTGTACTTTCTTCTTTCTGCACTTTATTCCTTCCTCCCATAATCTCTCTGATCACTTCTGTTCAGAGGACTCCAACTACCGCCTCTATGCCAATGGTTTCCACTCTAGATCTCTGAGCTCTGACTCCTACGTCCCAGATGTATATGTTCACCCATCATCTCTGTTTGCATCGCCACCAGATGTCCCCAACTCAGACTGACCCACACTGGCCCGCTTCTTCTGTCTTGAGTGTGGGTTTCAGGACCAGTGATCTACCCAGGAGAGGGATTTGTGAGGGTCCCTGTTCTCCTTCTCCAGCCTGGTGTTGGTCCTCAACTCTTGTCCTTCCTGCCTTTCAAGTCTCTTCCAGTTCAGCCCTTTCCCTCTCTGCTCCTGCTCTAACTCAGGCACTGTCGGTCTCTGTTTTCAGCTGCTGTAAACAGCCTATTGGGTCCACCCCTCTTACACCCATTCTGCCCTTGCCTGAGGCAACACTAGAGAGATTCAAGTGAGCAGTGATTTAGCCACATGCTTCCCCCCCCTTTTATTGATTTGAGAGAGCGAGGAAATGAGAGGGAGAGGGAGAGAGAAACATCGATGAGAGAAGAACATCGACTGGCCGCCTCCTGCATGCCCCCCACTGGGGATCGGGCCACAACCTGGGCATGTGCCCTGACCGGGAATCGAACCCGCAACTTCTTGGTGCCTGGGTCGATGCTCAACCACTGAGCCACATTGGCCGGAGTCAGCCACATGTTTTTTTAATGTTTTGTGGGTTTTTTTTGTTTTGTATTTTTTTTATCAACTTCAGGATAAACCCTAATTCCTGCTGCAAGACATAAGCCACGCAGGATGCGATCCGGGCTTCTTTCTCCAGCAGCCTCCTGCCCCGCCCCACAGACACCTGTGCTCCAGGCGACGGGGACGTTTCATTCCCTTTAGAGACCGTGTTCCCTCTGCGCCACGAAGGCGTTTCCTACCTCCCCACCTTACTCCACCTGCCAAATCCACCGCACAAAAGTGCGAATGTATTGCTCATTTACTTTTCGAGAAATGGAAAAAGCAACATATGCCTATTGTCAAACCCCGAAACCTCATGAGGGGGCGGATCCCCGGTTCTGTTTTCCAGAGGCACCTGCTGCCAGTCACTTCGTGTGTGTCTAGCCAGGCATTGCTGGTGGCACGGACGATTGTGGGTGTCTGCATTGTTCCTGTACTGTGAACAATGGCAGAAGGGGAAACACACTGTGCCTCCTCTTTGTGGACTGTGGTCAGACAGAATTTCAGGGTTTTTCAGAGGCTGTTCTAGGGCATGTTTGCAGATATGAAATGGGATGCTACAAGGTGCCTATATGAAGCGGGGCGAGAGGGCATTATTATGAAGAAGTGGAAGAAAGCAGAGGTCACAGAGTTATCAGAGTAAACGTTGCATTTACCTGTCAAGATGGCAGAGCTGGCAAAGACGCGGTGGTCACGAACCACGTGGCACAGGCTGCGGGCTTCACCGAAGGCTCATGGGAGGTGCCCAGGCCCTGTCTGTGAGTGCCTCCTCTTACGTGCGACCATCTGGTCTACTACAGGAGACAATAATCATACAGACTGTGACCGTACCCTCAAAGGATGCCTGCAGGACATCACTGTAGAAGTAGGCCAACCTGTGTTCCTGTAGGCAGGATAAAGGCCCCCCGCGGAGCTCACGCCCTGATCCCGGGAGGCTGTGACTATGTTACCTTGGATGAGAAAGAGGATTTTGCAGATGGGATCGAGGATTGAAAAATGGGGAGGTCATCCTGGATTATCTGGGGGTCGAGGGAATAGAATCAGGAGGATCCCGAAAAGTGGAAGAGGAGGTGGAGAGAGATTCGAACACACGAAAGGCCAGAGCAGCACAACTAAGCACAGCTCATCGTCACTAGCCCCGGAGATGGAGGAACGAGCCACAGCCAAGGATGCAGGCAGCCCCGGAGCCCCCAGAAGGCACACAGTCCCCCACAGCCTGCTTGTACCCCCAGACCCACCTCAGGCTTCTGGCCTCCAGAGCTCCAAGCGGATGAATCTGTATTCCTTCCGCCACTGAGCTGGTGGCCATTAGTTACGGCAGCGACAGAAAACGAATACGGATCCAAGGACCTACTAGATGAGCTCTCTGTGCTGAGATGACTTCCACACCCGAGCGGAACGGGAGGGAAGCCCTTAGCTCCCAGGGATTCAGGGTTCTTCTGCGGGGTTAGGGTGCAGACACGCAGAGGGTTAAACAAATCTGTGTGACTTTGGCTAGAGCAGCGGTTCTCAACCCTTGGGTCACGACCCCTTTGGGGGTCAAACGACCCTTTCACAGGGGTCGCCTAAGACATAACAGTAGCGCCCTGGCCGGTTTGGCTCAGCAGTTAGAGTGTCGGCCTGCGGTCCTGAGAGACCCGGGTTCGGTTCCCGCTAAGGGCACGTACCTCGGTTGCAGTTTGTCCCCGGCCCTGGTCAGTTGTGCGGGTGGCAGCCACTCGATGTGTCCCTTCCACATCGATGTTTCTCTCTCTCTCTCTGTTCCTCTCTCTCCCTCCCACTCTACCTGAACGAAAAATGGAAAAATGTCCTCCGGTGAGGATTAAAAAAAAAAAAAGACATAACAGTAGCAAAATTACAGTTATGAAGTAGCAACGAAAATCATTTTATGGTTGGGGGTCCCCACAACATGAGGGACCGTATCCAAGGGTGGCGGCATCAGGAAGGTTGAGAACCACTGGGCTGGAGCTTCGCTGCGAAGAGACGTGTATGATTGAATCAGATCGTGGGAATACTGTGTTTTGAACTTGCATAGGCTTGTGTGAGAACCTGGGTACAGACAGGTGTTACTTGCCCGACAGTCATTGGAGCAGAGGCCCAACTCGCTCGCCTCTCAGGATGTTTGGCCGGGCCTGAGGGTGAACTTGCCATAAGACAGGTTCTCAGGAGGAAAACACACAGATGCACTCCAGTGCCATGTGACCAGAGAGCCCTCCTAAGGAAACGAGCACCCCAGAAGCGGCACACCCTGGTGCTTCTACAGCAGCTTGAGCAAAGAGAAGCAGTTGTAGAAAAGTAACTAAAATACAGGAGGAAACCAAGGAGGGTGACAAGGTCTGTCTGTGCAGAATTGTCCCGAGACCAGGAAGTGTTAGCTTTGGATTTCCGGGGGAAAAGGAGAGGTCAGAACCTTTCCCTTATACCAGTTGTTTTCAAGTACCTTTAGCTCAAAATAATGCTTGGCCAAAATGGCTTTGTTTGGGAACGGATTCTGCCACGCTTACTTAGTGAGAGACGTCCTGTGGATGTTCAGTGGCAAAGTGGAACCGGGGACTCGGTTGCTGCAGCTCCTCCGCTTGCTGGCACGGATAAGAAACGTTCAGTAGCGATGGCTCTTCTGTGTCTTGCCTTCGTTTCTCTCAAAGTTCGCCGTCTAGCTCAGACAGAAGCCTACGGAAAGAGTAGAGGCCTCCTGCCCGGCCAGTGTGGCTCAGTGGTTGAGCATCAGCTCGTGCACCAAGAGGTCACTGGTTCAATTCCCAGCTGGGGCACATGCCCAGGTTGTGGGCCCGATCCCCAGTAGGGGGCATGCAGGAGGCGGCCAGTCAGTGTTCTCCCTCATCGATGTTTCTATCTCTCTCTCCCTCTCCATTCCTTTCTCTCTAAAACCAATAAAGAAAAAAAAATTTTTTTTAAAGAGTAGATTATTTCTTTGTAAATTTTAAAAATATTTTTCTGATTAAGTATTAGTGTAAAAATGCTAAGAAACCGGATCTTCAGTAACAGTTTTTTAAAAGAATCTGGTGTAGAGAGATGAGATCTGGTTGTTTGTCACCGAAGAATAGGGATAAGGAAACTCAACCCATCTCAAACTGGTTTTGACTTCTGTCTTTTTCCCCAGCACTCCGGCCCTGTGCAATTTGCATGTTTTCCGAACTGTTATTATATTATGATAAAGAAGGATTATCAGATATTTTCAGAGAGTGTTTTCTTAACAATTCAACTTTTATTTGTAACTCTTCCATTTATTTTAATTACCAGCACAGTGTGCAACATTTATTAATCAGCAGAGCCTTTTTAAGTTAAAATACTAGATTAGCTAACCCCATTAACACAGGAGACTCCAAGCAAGCAGTGAGGGGAGTGGTGGTCACCATGCGCCCCGTGTCCTCCACGCGGGCGCGCCGGGGCACACTTAACCGTGATTGCCCTCTTTGATCCGGCCCTCCCCCGCCTTCCCCAGCTCATTTCCGCTGGAAATTTGCAAAGTGCCGCCTTCGTTTTTCCAGCTTCATTTTTCTAATGAAGTTCTGGTGCTTTGTAACACTGGGGATGCAGATGATAAGCTTGTGTATAATTAAGAAGTTCTTGAATTTGTCTACAAAGGATTCCTTTATTTCTTTGTACAGCGGAGACCTCACTCTCTCTTTGTCCAGGGTTTCCTTGAAAATAAAATGTTGTGTTGTCCGGCCGGTGTGGCTCAGTGGTTGAGCGTCGACCCATGTACCAGGAGGTCGCTGGTTCGATTCCCGGTCAGGTTGTGGGCCCGATCCCCAGTGGAGGGCACGCAGGAGGCGGCCAATTGATGTTCTCTCTCATCGATGTTTCTATCTCGCTCTCCCTATCCCTTCCTCTCTCTCTAGAATCAATAAAGAAAAAATATTTTTAAAAAAAGAAAAAGAAAAGAAAATGTTGTGGGTATCTTTTTTTAAAATAAATGACCACAGAATACTTCAATTCTGTTATTATAGACCTCTAAGTCTAAAGAAGTTTAAGATTTATAACATGTAGTTAATTGACAATTTGGAATACTTCTAGTGATATACCTGAGAATATTATGTATACTTTTAGTGTATGCAATTCGATAAGTCATAAAAAGATACTTTTAGTCTTTTGAGTCAGATTTTATCATAACACAATGCCTCACGTATGTTAGCTAAAGACCAGCTGACTTTCAGTCCCTTTGTGAAGCTCGTGGATTATTTGTTGTTGTTGAGAAAGACAGTCAAGTCGTTTTGTGCCACTCATGTCGCCATATCGGAGTGCCATGCGCACATCCTGGATTGTCCCGTTTCAATTTGGGGTTCAAAAGCGGGGGTCAGAGAGACTGGAAGCCTGAACAGACATTTGCCAGGCAGAGCCAGGACAGTGGCCTGGACAAAGCCACCTCTAGTTAAAAAGTGCTCACCCTGGCTAGTTTGCTCAGTGGTTAGAGCACCAGCCCTTGAACCGAAGGGTTGTGGGTCAGATTCCAGCAGGGGCACGTACCTGGGTTTGCAGGTATGATCCCCACCCCTGGCTGGGGTCTTTCAGGAGGCAACCAATGGATGTGTCTCTCTCACATCAATGTTTCTCTCTCTCTCTTTCTCTCCCTTCCACTCTATCTAAAATCAATGGAAAAATATCTTCAGGTGAGTATTAACAACAACAACAGCAAAAAGTGCGTAGCTCATGGGGTTTCACGCCCATCCCGAGAAGAGCTCAGAGCTTTGGTGCCTCGAGCCAATGGCAGCAATGAGATGGGCGTGTAGGTGGAGCCAGAGAACAAAGGGCCGCGTGTATGTGCGAGGAGAAGACGTTCGCACTTTGCCATATGGAGACTGAACGCACCGCAGTGTTTTAATCACTGGGAAAAGAACAGGCAGCCTACAAATATCACCTTATTCGCTATGTCCGTGGTGAAGGGATGGGAGTCCCTGCTGATGAGACCAGTGAGGGGACCGTGGCCATAGTCCGTCTCGGAGATGAACAGACTCACCATAGAAGAGGGGCCTTGGTAGCAGAAGGAGGAGAAACATTGATAAACCGCTTAATAGGCAGAACTCTATAAGCTACACCAACCTGATTCAGGGGGCAACTGAGAAAGGTGTGGTTGGTGTGGTCGGGGGCACAGGTGCAGTTAGGGTCACTACTGTAGAACCCTCGAAGTTGTAAAAACACAGATTTACTCAAGGTAGCTCAAGAAATGAAGGGTGTGTTTGAAGAGATGCATTGAGGACCTGTCGATATATGAGAAAACAAAGAAATCCTGGACCAAGATGCCTCAGGTGGGGCGGGGGCGGATGTCCCTTAGCAGCATCTCTGGGTTCTACATTGCTGCTCCACAACTCCTCTCTCCCGACAGCTCTATCTGTGGGCTCACCTTCTTTCCCATAGACCCTCCGCTTGCACTTTATCATCATGGCCTGATTCAATATCACCCTCCAACTCCAGAACCCAGGGCTAATTCTGGTTTCAGCTCAAACTCCCGAAAGAGAATCTGTTTTGCTCAATTTGTATGATCAAACTAGTCCACACAGGTCATAGGCTTGGAATATAATAGATACTTGATGAATATGTATTAACGTGTGCATATACGTATTAACATATGCATATAATAGTAATCCAGTGTCTCTAGAAATCCAATTGAGAATGTCACCTTAATGTTCTTTCAGGTTTTTGCCATTCTCTTCCTACCATAAGAATAAAAAGTACATTCCGTCACTGCATTTGTCAAGCAAGTACAGTTCTGACTCTTATGGAAGTCAACACTTCAGAGACAAAAATCCTAAGAAATGGATCTGTGACAAGGTGAGTTAATGCAACATTTTTAAAAATGTTGTTTTAAAAATATGTTTTTATTAATTTTTTTTTTTTTTTTTTTTTAGAGAGAGATAGAAACATCCAAGTGAGAGAGAAACATCCATCGGCTGCCTCCTGCACACCCCGGGAATCAAACCAGGACCTCTCAGTCCATGGGATGGTGCTCGATCCACTGAGCCACACCGGCCAGGCATAATGTCACATTTTTTTTTAAATGGTGTTCCTTTTAAAAGACTAAAGTAGACACTTTTTACAGCAAATATAAATATTCCCATTACAATGAATACCTTCATTGTTACAAAAGAATTTATAGCTATTTCATGTCAAGATGGGGCTGCTGACCTGTGCTGGTAAGAATTTGTGTTAAGGTTTTGGGGTTTGTCTTTTAGGGTTGTGTTCTTATGTTCTGTGGCTCAGCTCCCCTGTGGTCAGTGGCATGGACCACTAGCTTTGGCCAACCCAACCAGGGCCAAGGCTTGAATCAGTGGTCACAGAATGGCATTCAGCTGACCCTCAGGCACAGAGACCAGAGCTTGCTTGTTTTCTCTCCATCTCTGTATGTTTTTAGATAGACAGATAGATAGATGGACAGATAGACAGACCACGGCATAGATTTATGTGATACCATATGTATACTTATAATATAGAAAAGAATAAAACAAATGAATATTTATTGTCTGGTTCTAAAATAATATTTGTTAGCACTTAGACAAAAATTTCTGAATTGGGAAAACACTAAGATGGTCCTATAGTAGAGGGGAAAAGGACAGTTTTTACTATGTGTTTAACCTACTGTCTAGAAGTTAGAAATTATAACTTATTTATAGCAAAATTACACAGATAAAATGAAGTTGTAAGTGATTTTCGGGAAGGGGGTTAGGGCCGTTGAGCTCCATATACTACGAGGCTTATTGGTTGAGCCTATCAGTGAGGATTTATTTATACATAATCTCCTTCCTTGCCCTGGCTGGTTGCTCAGTGGTTAGAGCGTCAGCCTGTGGACCAATGAGTCGTGGATTCGATTCAGGGGGCACGTACCTCAGTTGCAGTTCATCCCCGGCCCTGATTGGGGTCATGCGGGAAGCAACCAGTCCATGTGTCCTCGCGTCAATGTTTCTCTCTCTCTCCCTCTTCCTCTCTCTACCTCCGACTCTGTAAAACAATAATAATAATAATTATAATAATTTTTCAAAAGGATGTGATGCGTCTTACTAAAAGGTAAATGCAGTACAGGTCATATTCTAGACAGAAAAATAGGGGAAGTGACCTTAGAGGAGGAGAGTGCCCATGGCTACAGAACGAAGCTGGGGAGGGCGAGCCGTTGCCGAGACCCGCGGATCTCCGCCCTGGGCGGGAAGCGAGGCCGCGCCAGGCTGCAGAGGCTCCGTCAGGACGAAGGAAATCAAGATGCTACTTTCCCGAACTCCAACTAAAATTCCTTCTGTGACGACATTGTACACGTGGGCGCACCGGGGATGAGTCACGCAGAGAGAAACTTGGATACTTCAGGAAGTGCCTCTTTATTTAGCAACTACTAAGACATCTTTTTATTTTTATTTTTATTTTTTAAGTGGTCTTCCAAAACATTAAATAATAATTCCATGGCATAAGGAATATGTATAGTTCAGCTGGTCCACTGATTGGGAAACCGAAATGTTGGTGATGATGTAAAAATCCCCAGTAAAACGATTCTAGGCACTTATTTTTGCCTAATACGCAACTATACAGAATATGGGCTTCATAATATTTCTAAAGTATTTAATTTCATATTTTGAATGCAGTGTGCTCCGTATGTTATTTTTTTGACATAAACATTTTTTTCTTTTATGTCCTCTCACCATTCTATTTAAATCAAAGAAATATTCAGTTCTTTAAAATGGAAATGACTCACCATAGGACATTAAACTACTTCAGAGTAACAGAGATCTTTGTGTAGATATTTCTTCCTAAAATAATCTTGTACTGTAGAGACTTTGAATACCCATTAAAAAGAAAACTAGTTTATTTGGCTTTTTTTTCCCCCCCAGGAATTATCGTGTGTTCCTGTGTTCTTTTAGAAAGTATATATAGCCCTGGCCGGTTTGGCTCAGTGGTTAGAACATCAGTTCGTGGACCAGAGTCCCAGGTTCAGTTCCCGCTAAGGGCATGTACCTTGGTTGTGGTTCATCCCTGGCCCCAGTTGGGGTCATGTGGGTGGCAACCAATCAATGTGTCTCTTTCATCCACATTTCTCTCTTTCTCTCCCTCTCACTCTCCCTCCCACTCTATATGAAGGTAAATGCAAAAATGTCCTTGGGTGAGGATAAAAAAAAAAAAAGAAAGTATATATAGCTAAAGAGTTAATGACAAATAATTGTTCTTGTAGACTCTGACAATTAAGCAACAAAAGTATAGAAATTTTTTCAATTTTAATAAATCACTAGTCTACTTAACTCTGTACAAAACCAGGTCAAAAAACAGTTGAGAGAAAATCCAATGTTAATTTCTCTCTAATCACAGTACATGAAATCAATTAATATATCAAATATTTTTAATACTTTCTGCTTTATTTTTAATGCTATGGATATGAAGAACACTATACAAAGACATCACAAAATCAGTGAGTCGGGAGCAAATAACCCTGTCCTCTCCTGAAAGTATAAAAATCAATAATGAAAAATAACATGTACCAGTTTTCTTGGACGTATAGCTGTCAATAATAAAATAATGTACGTAGGATATAACTCACTCATATTTCTTTGATCTATTTGTGAAATGCCTCAAGTAAATGGTACGAGTCTAGCTCTGTGTTAAATGGTCAGACTTTTTAAGTGCTGATATCTACTTGGTATTGATAAATTCTTTGTTGTGCTCATGTCAGTATTTAAAATGGAAGTGAAACTTAATCAGGGGAATGTACTAGTCACTGTTAATTTACTCTATTTGGGCATACCCAAAAGAGTTGGACAAGTCAAAATTCAGGATACTAAAAACATTATTTTGCTTGTCAAAACAATTACATATGCTCGTATTAACTGAAGCACAAATGATGGTCTAAGTCCCTTTATCTTCATTGGAATTCGTTTTTATATTCACTTTTTTTTTCCTTTATTGATTTTTACAGAGGAAGGGAGAGAGAGAGAGAAACATCGATGAGAGAGAACATCGATTGGCCGCCTCCTGCACACCCCCCACTGGGGATCCAGCCCACAACCTGGGCATGTGCCCTGACCGGGAATCGAACTGGTGACCTCTTGGTGCCTGGGTCGACGCTCAACCACTGAGCCACACTGGCTGGACTCATATTCACTTCAGACAACTGACTTTAACGGGACCGTTTGTGTTTTTTCTTGTTTGCCAAACTCAGGAAGAGACCTTTTTGGTGGTTCATGTTGACCTGCCTACAACAGGTGAATTACACCAGGAGAGCAGCCCCCCGCCCCATGTGTTGTTGTTGTTACTTTCACATGCATTTTGGTCCTAAACAAGTCTTGATAAGCTGCAAAGCATAGAAATACTGAATACTCCACAAGGAATTAATTTAGAGGACCTAAGCATATTGCACAGGACATAAAGTTGACCTTTCCTGTCTGCGGCTCCGGGCATGGAGTGGGATGTGCATCCTGTCAGAGGGTTAATGTGGCATAGCGCTGTCTGCAGAAACTTGGGTGGGACTGCGACTGCTTGCCCACTGCACCCAGTGATTGAATCCGCTGTCGCCAGAATCCTGATAATAATGAACATTCAGCTTAACGACCGTGATTATGATGATCATAATTGATGCGCCGTACAGGGTGTGGGCATCATTATGGCTGAACTGAGCAGCAGAGAAACATGCCTCAGTTAGGGGTAATTTTACTTTTATGCATTGATTGGGGTAAAATATGCTTTTCCATTTAAACAGACCAGCTTCATATAATTTTAAGACTCTTTCTGTACGTACTGATGGATGATTATGCACTTGCAGAGAGACAGCCCCTTCCCGTCGCTTGTTTTGTGTTGCTTCATTTCATTAGTGAATGTAAACAGTTAAATAATTAGGTGGAATTGAGGGGAAATATTTTGCTAATGAGCGTGGCCTGCAATAATCAAATATTCACTTTGAGAGCTTTTTTTCTTCTTCTGTCTCGTTATACATCGGGGCCTGAGCTTTTTCCATTTCCTCTCGTTATTACCCTTGCGTCAGACTTCTTGAGGTGGGTAGACTTCAGGAAAACTATGAGTTTATATAATTTTTATTATAAATCTATAGATGCATTTGTATTTACATGTAATATTTATATATACTCCAGCTGGTTTATTATGCACTTTAGAAAATTGGACAGAGCCCAATATTGTCATATGGTTTATTGAAAAAATATGTAACCTTAGAATAGTTTAAATGTGTAATGTTGAGATGCATCTGCTTATACAACCTTTGCTTTTTAATCACCGTCTTGTTTCTGATAGATTTATTACATCATGTAGTACTTTTCAATTATAGTTTTAAAAGTGGCTTCAGAAGAGTTACTGATTTGAATTTTAACTTATGAATGAAAATAACATGTGCAATGAAGTGTCCAAGATTTTCAGTAGATTAGATCAGACCCTATTCATCTGGAAGTATTAACCTAAGGGCTCAATTTGCATTTGAGTCTAAAATATTACACTGGAGTGGTGAGCAAACATAATGGAACGCATTTTCATAAGGCATGGTGAGCCATTTAAAAACATTTTTATTTTGTAGCTGCAATGAGATCTGAGATTAAGAGATCTCTCTCTCCGATGATTAATAACCGTTCCGCTTTAAGGAGGCGTGGCCAGTGTTTCCTGCTGAGGTTGGTAAGATTTCACGCGCCCAGGTGGACGCTTGTGCTGGATGCGCACCTGCCCACCGCGGCGGAGGACAGCATCTTACTACATTGGGCTGTGAAGGGGAGAAGAGAAATTAATAGGGCAAGAGCTATAGGGAGAAATATGGTCAAGTTTTTTGTATGTTTTCTTTTGAGATGGAAGAAGTTTCTGTGTGT